CCGAGCGGGCACTGGGGACGGAAGGCAGCGTTGGCCCCAGCCTGGCACAAAGAGCCCCACGGCCCCCCACCTCCCCAGCTGCTCCCGCTTCCATCTCACGTGTGCCTGCAGCCGGAGGTTCTCCAGCCCTGCCTCACACTTGGGCGTTTAAACTGCCCCCCCTTGCTGCCCACACCCCTGGGCCCGGCTGCACGAACCTTTTCAGGCTCTGAATTTCATCCAGTGTGAAGTCAAAGATGCTGGCCAGGTGGTGGTTGGTGCTCCAGGCGGAGGTGAAGTCACTCTGCCCCACGAAAACAAGGGTACTCGTCACTGCCGGGCGGAGTGGTACTGCCCATGGCCCCAGCATCGGCACCCTCTGCCCCGGCACCACCACGCTCCCTCCCGTGTCCCCACAGCCCCCGGGAAGGCGGCTTGGCACAGAACATTTGCAAACCCCAGGGTGAGGGACAGGGGCTCTCCCTGCCCGCAGGAGCAGGGGAACCTCGCAGGGAGCCCCAGGGTTGGGGGCTGTAGGGTCCCACCCGGTTGCCAAAGCCCGGGGCGGTCGCACAGAGGAGGGGGCGAAGGACTCACGCTGGGAATTGCGTCCTCCAGCAGGAACTTGGCCCTCTTGCGCCGCGCCGCTCGCCGCTTCTGCTGCTGGAGCTGCCGTGGCAGCAGGCTGCAAAGCAAGGGGGGGGTGAGACTGCCAGGCCGCCCCAGGGGAGCATGGTAGCGGGGGGGTGCCCAGGCGAATTTGGCCACTCACTTGTCTTTATGGACATACTTGCTTTTTCCCCTCTTCTTCAGCTCGCAGGAGCCACTCTCACCCATGCCAGGGGCTTTCTCTGGCAGCACCTTGCTGGGGGGGTTTGGCGGGACGCGGATCCGCAGGCGAAAGATGCATTTTTTCTTTTTGATTTCCTTCCCACACAGAAACCTGGGCAGCAGAGGGGAGGAAACAAGCCTCAGCCAGGGGAGCCGCAGGAGCATCCTGCATTCCGCCCCGTCCCCGTCCCTCGCCCCGCCGCACTCGGGGGCTCACCTGCTTTTATAGCTGTTGAGTGCATTGAGGAGGTGGGGGCCGCGCTCGGAGACGGGGGTGCCCGTCAGCTGCGGAGAGACGGCAGAGGTCAGGCAGGGCTCGGCGCCTGCTGCGGTTATGCAAAAACTAAACAGACGGGGGAACCCGAACTCCGGGTTTCGGCTCCTGCCCGAGGTCAGGGAGCGAGGGACGCCAAAGCCCAGAGCCGCCCGGGTTTGGCACCGGCTGCCCTCGGTGCAGGGGAGGGAGGCGTCTGCGGGGAACCGATCCGTCCCGACGCGGCGACAGGTTTCCAACACACTTTGGTTTTAGCGCTTCTCCCGGCTCTAGCTCCAACTGGGAAACTTGTCAGGTACAACACCCGAACAAAGAGAAATCCCAGCGCAGAGGAAGGTGATTAAGCTAATTTTGAGCAGGAGCTGCCCATGCCGAGTGCTGCACGAACGGCGTTTTTGCCGAGATGCCCAAGCTCATTGGAGAGGGACTGCTGGCACAGTGGCACTGCCAACATGCGAGCACATCCCTTTCAACATGCAAGCACATCCCTTTCCACCCTTCACCCTCCGCCCCAGCCCCAGGAAAGGTCCCTCAGCTCTGCCCAGGGCCCGTGCCCAGGGGCCGACACCATTCCCGCCTCAGGGAGCAGCATCCTCCACCCCC